TACCTATATAACTTAAAGACTAAGACAATAAACAACTGTGCAACAAATGAGGACAATGACCTGAAAATGTAAACAATGTATAATTATCTTGATCAGAGGTAGAAATGTGCATTGCAATATGATAAATATATATCAATATATAAAAATGTTTTAAGCACAGATAGAAGCATGCATGCATATAATATTTAATAAAATTTAACTTTGTATCAATATACAGGCATCTATACCAATGTATATATCGTCTATAAATAATAACTAACACGTATTCACTAATACTCACTATTATTATTAGTGTAAGCTTATGCCAATCTATTGTCCCATCCAATCCCCACCCCCCTTTTGTTTTAAAAAGATCCCTGAACCTATAAAAATTTCCCTTAAACCCCAACCTTATACCAATTATTATCAACTCCTAAATGATGTCCCTAACTCTGAGGACAAATTTTTTTGGTTATCTTCTAGAATTACTTCCAGCTGTCATGGAGGTGATGTTCTTTCTAAGGGATCCTGTGAAAGTAAAATGTTACATAAGTTCCAAATTTCTGTCTAGTATACTTACAATTAGTCTCTGTATTGGGTGGCGGTCTGGCCAGAACATTGTAAAAATGTGCACCATGTCAGCTAACCAAGTTGGAACTATCTTGTGCAGCTGGTACCCAAAACAGATCTTTCTGTAGTAGCGCCTACCAGCATCATGATGCCATATCAATCAGGTGGAATTGTTCTTGTGGGGGCCCTATCCTCTTCCTGGAAACTTCAAATATTACTGCAGTAAAATTCATTGTTCCTTGTGGAAAACTTAAGCATTATTAATATAGACATATACAGACATGTATATTCAATGAAAGGTATGATAAAGATAAAAATAGATATGAAGGAAAGTATTTTTCTAAATTATTTTTTCTTTCTGTCCCATGTTCTGGGACATGACATGAGACAGAAACTCTGAATTTTTCTTTTAACAACATGCTTGGATTTAGAGAGGGACAGAGCTGGTGTCCAACTCCAAAGCCAGCTCTATATATTCATATATCTATATATATTCTATCATTTGTACTTATGAATCATACTTGATTTTCTTGATAATCCTTATTAGGTAGTTATTTTTCCATCTGTCATCATTCAAACATCCAGAGTCTCTTGAATTTTGAAGATGAGAGCTTACTTGCAAAGATAAGAACAGAACCATGCCTCAACCCTATATGCTTTCCTTACCACCTGTATGGTTGTCACCATTGTGGACTAGCTGTCATTTCTCTTTTTCAAGAGGTTTCTACTTTTCAAACTGAATCTTTATTAATTTTTATAGTATCCATATTTTTTCTTCTCTTGTGGAAACAAGAACAAAACTGCTTCCCCAACATAGCACATCTCCTGGCTTCCATTGTGAGGTCAGCACATCCTTGACATTGATCATTTGATGTAATTCAGAAAGCTTTTCTATTATCCAATGTCTCTTTGCTGTTGTTGTCCCTTTCTGATTAGCATTAAGAAAATTCAAGGTTAAAGCATTATGTAATCTATTTCTGGGGGCATTTTTCAACCCTTTCTGTTTGTTTAACATATCCTTTATAGTTCAATTTGATCTTTTTATAACAGCATGACCTATAAGATTGTGTGGTATCCCTGAATTATGCTTAATATCATAATAAGCAAAAAAACTGCTTTATTTTCCTAGAGACATACGCTGGGCCATTATCTGTTCTTTTTTTTTTTTTTTGCAGGTATGCCCATAATAGCCATAACTTCTAATAAATGTGTAATTACTGAATCAGCCTTTTCTGAGCTTAAAGAAGTTGCCACTGAAAACCTGAATAAGTGTCAATGGTATGGTGTACATATTTTAATTTTCCAAATTCTGCAATGTAGAACACATCCATCTGCCAGATTTCATCCCTTCGAGTATCCTTTGGGTTAGTCCCTGCAGGTAGTGGTGTTTGGTTATAGAAAGAGCAAGTAAGGAATCTCTTTATGGTCTTCTTAGCTTGTTGCCATGTAATAGAAAACTCTTTCTTTAAACCTTTGCTATTGACAAGCTGTTTTTAAATGAAATTTTGAGGCCTTCAATATGCTTCCAATTAATAATTGATCAATTTCTGCATTACCTTGTGCTAGAGGACCTGGCAGACCTGTATGGGATCAAAGGTGTGTTATGTATATAGGACAAAGCCTATTCCTGATTGTCTTGCACTTAGATAAGTAATGAAGTCAAATTCTGTATCATGTGGTATAAATTCAGTGGCTGCAATATGTAAGATAACTCTTTCTGCATATTGTGAATCAGTAACTATATTAAGAGATTCCTTAAAATCCCTTAGCACCCTGAGAATAGCAAATAATTCTGCCTTCTTGACAGAATTATAAGGGCTTTGTTTCACATTACTTAATTCTTCTGATTTGTATCTGGTCTTCCCTGATTTGTTTGCATCAGTATAAAATGTACAGGCTCCAGTTATTGAAGCATCAGGTACAATTTGGGGAAGAATTCAAGAAGTTCTCTTTATAATGTTAAGTCTATTGCTTTTGGCACTATAATCTCTACTGGGTTCATACCTGTAATTGATGAAGTCTCAATTTACCTTTTATAATTAATTCAGAGACTTTTTCCACAAAAGTTTTAAATTTTTTATTTGGTTTATGTGGTAAAAATATTCATTCTAATACAACATCATCCCTCTGCATTCAAATTCCTGTAGGAGAAACTCTTATAGACAGTATGACTAGAATACAATTAATATTTTGAATCACCATATCCACATGTGACTCCTGTAATTTTTTTTCAAAATTTGTCAATTTCTTTTCTGCTTCAGTTGTTAATTCTCTGGAACTATTCAAGTCTTTATCACCATCTAAGGTTTTGTTTAAATGAATTATTAGGTCAGGTGTTATCCCAACAGCTGGTTGTAGACTGGAAATGTCTCCTAACAATCTTTGAAAGCCATTAAGAGTTTGTAATCAGTCTCTCCTAATTTTTGCCTTTTGTGTCCTAATTTTCTGTAAACCTATTTTATAACCTAGGAAATTGACAGAATCTCCTCTCTGTATTTTTTTTCAGGAGCAATTAATAATTCCCATTTTGACAAAAGTTTCTTTACTTCTTCAAACATTTTTTTTCTAAAGTGTCCATGTTCAAATCAGATAGCAAAATGTCATCCATGTAATGGTAAATTATAGACTTAAGAAACTGCTTATGTATTATTTCCAATGTCTGATTTACAAAGTATTGGCACAATGTTGGGCTATTGAGCATTCCTTGTGGAAGGATGGTCCATTGCTATCTCTTAGTACCTTGATAATTATTATACATAGGCACTGTGAAGGCAACTTTTTCTCTATCCTTTTCTTGTAAAGGTATAGTGAAGAATCAATCTTTCAAGTCAATAACCATAATAGGCCATCCTTTTGGTAATAGAGAAGGCAGAGGAATTCCAGATTGTAGAGGGCTTATATGTTGAATAACCTTATTGACAGCTCTTAGATCTGCTACCATTCTGCATTTTCCAGATTTCGTTTTTACAACAAATACAGGAGAATTCCAAGGGCTGAGTGATTCTTCAGAATGGTGAGTATATAGCTGCTCTTGTACCAGTTGTTCTAAAACCTGCAATTTATCTTCAGCTAGAGGCCACTGCTTAACCCATATTACCTTCCCAGTTAACCATTTTAAAGGTAGGGCTGTTGGTGCCTCTATAGTTTGCCTCATTGCTTTATGTTCTTGTGCAGGTGGAGTGGCTGGTGACCTTTGTGTATAGTACCTTAAAATATCCTTCCCAGAATCATAAGTTCCTGGGAACACAGGAATGTTAATCTAGGTATTCCATTACTGCAGTAGGTCATGACCCCATAAATTTACTGCAATATTAGCCACATATGGCCTCAGCTTTTCTCTTTGACCTTCTGGCCCAATATAGTCATCCCATCTTGTGCTTTGTTTAACTTGAGATATGATTCTAATTACTAGTAATTGAACATGTTTATGCCATCATTTAGAACCATATGGTCTTTTACAGAAGGCTCTGTATTTAATTTACCTGGTGTGACATGTTCTCCACAGTTACTGGGAACGACTGGGCCACTTTTGGCTTTGGGGCCTGTGAGAGGCCCCTCAAGGAGTTTCCTGATGGCTTCGGGTTGCTTTGTTTGTCTGGTTTTGATCTGCATTCATTGTTCCAATGTCTACCTTTGCCACACCTTCTACATATACCTGAGGCTGAGGTCTCCTATTTTTTGCTATTCCCAGAGTAGATATTATTCCTAGGAATTCCTTGTCTACAATCCCTTCTCAGATATCCTATTCTATCACAATTAAAACATTTGGCATTTTGATGTCTCCTCATTCCTTTGGAAATTGCTTCTCCTACCCAAGATTCAATATTGCAGTCAAATGTCTCAATATTCATTGTATGCAGAATCCATTCATCCATAGGTGATGATTTACCCTTTAGAGGCTGAAGTATCTTTTTGCATTCTTAGTTTGCATTTTCAAAAGCTAAAGATTCAATAAGTACTCATCTAGCATTTGGGTCTGTTACTCCTATTTGCACAGCCTTATTTAATCTTTGTAGAAAGTCAGTAAAGAGTTCTCTCTGTCCCTGTCTAACCATGGTATATGATTCAAATATTTTTCCTTGTTCTTGAATCCTGTCCCAGGCATTTAAGGGTGTTTTGTGGCATAGACACAAGATTTCTTCATTGTAAAGAGCTTGAACCTGTAGAACTTAAATAGCTAAATTTTATAAGACATCTCAGTAGAGATAAATTCCATGTCCAAGTTTTCCTGGAGATGTTTTCTGTTAAAGGTCCTCCACTTAGGGAGAGAACAGTGTTTCAGGAGATCAAGGCCTATGTTGTTGCTGGCAATGACTTCCATCCTATCCTGTCAGATCCACAAATTCCTTGTTTTCTAAGAATTTGACCTGAGACCTGTTACTGTTTTTCAGGAGCCTGGTTAAACCCCACGTAGAGAAGGCACACAACCCTCCCTCACAAGGCCGCTTCCTTCAGCCCTCTAATACCCTTGTTTTATGTGCAGCTTCCCCTGCAGTCTCCCTCACTGTGTCACTCAGAGCACAGTAGTACAGGGCAGAGTCAGACAGTTGCACTGAGGGCTTCTGCAGGTGGAAGGAGTTGCTGCTCTTGTTGAGGTTGGCATAGAAACCTTGATGTTCTATTCTCTTTTTGTCTGTGAAGGTATTCAGAAGTAACTGGGGGCCTTTCCTGGGATGTTGCACATACCAGAAAAGGAAAGGACTTGTGTAAGCAGTCTCATAGTTGCAGTTCAGCTTCACAGGCAACCCCTCTGTGACAGTAACCTGGCCTTCTGTCTGAGTCACTGAGTCTCCATTGCTCCTCCCTGAAAATAAATGAGGAGAAATTATTTTTCTATGTGAGAAAAAAGGCAAAGACTGCCATAGCTGTAAGAAAATGACATAATCATTACTTAGACTAAATATAACTTACTGAACATTAAAAGAAGTAGCAGAACTGAGCAGATGTCAAGAAGCATGTTCATAAGGGAAAATGATGCTTGGTTCTTGAGTACACCAAACTCACAGGGCAAGTCTCTTTCAGAGCCTTATTGAAGCTCCTCAGTCATAAGCAAGGACCTCCTTCTGCACAGTGGCAGTCTGTCATGTGACACTACCACATGGGTGCAGACATTAACCACATCTGAAGACATAGCACCCTCTGATGATTTACCTCCAAACTGCACTAAGATGTCTACACCACACTTAGTAAATAAAATTGAAGCCTCATCCAAAGGAGGCAGGTTTCAAGTCTCCAGTGGATGTCTAAAATCACCAATATTACTGAACTTTATATATCTTGGGGTATTTAGGGTAATGGGTGTACATAAAAGAACACACACACACAAAACTCTGATAAAATATATTTATGTTTCCCATTTTATTTCTGTTTTGATAATGTTATGCAATGTATTTCAATTATAAAAAATTTCTCCCTTTGCTCCTGCCAGATCTATTACTCTTCACTACCAACCCAGTTTTGTGGCATCCCCATTTACAGTAAATCAACTCAAGGTTTTCATTAAAGGTTGTACTATACATTAACTTTTGGGTGTGTGGCCTTCAATGGAGGATGGTCTATGCACATTTAAATAAACCTGATTCTCTATCCCAGCAACTGCTGCCAGTAGATTCTTAGCTAAGGGTGGAATGCACACCTTCCCTCTTCTTGCTGGAACTCTATCTTCTCTGATCCTTTGCAAGTCTTATATGTGCTGTCAATCTCTGAGTTCATGTGTGCAGATGCTCTGCTGTGTCCAGAAAACACTGTCTTCTTGTAATCATCCCCACCTCAGGCTCTCCCAGTCTTTCTGCCCTCTCTTCTTCAGACCTTGAGAGGAAGGTGTGTTGTAGATGTCTCATCAGGGACTGAGTTTGCTACAGCCTCTTCTTCTCTGCAGCACAGCGAGTTCTGGTTCTCTGTGACAATCACCACATGCTGGAACAGGAAGCTTCTCTGAAGAAGGCTGACTGATGCACCAATGTATGTTTATAGCAAAAATTCATTAGGAGTTGATCTAAGAATATGTCCCTGTGGGAGAACCTACTACCATTATCCTGAGAAATGGCAGTACTAGTGAATCCATCTCCTAATGACTTATCATTAAAACCACAGTAATGCATCTCTCAACCATCATGTGAGAGGCTTCTATTTGCACTACACAGCAATTAGCATGTAAGCACAAAACTGGTCAAGGTATAGGAGCAAGAGGATGTGGAATATTCAGCCTCCAAAGGAATACCTATAACACACATCATCCTCCAAACATTCAGGAATTATTGAAGAAAAAGTTTGGAAACTAAAAGCTCTATAGGCTGTGCATTATGATAAGATACAGTGTCTTCTAGACATAGCAGAAAATTTGGATATACATGTTCCTATCAGGTGGGACAGCACTTCCAAGACCTGGACAAACTCAAGCCAGACAAAAGTTCTAGCTGCATAGGGATGTTGGCCACGAACTCCTACCATATCTGAATACTTATTGAAAATTGGTAGTTTCTGGGAAAGTGGAGTCAGGTTTATTTAAAGTACAACACTTAGTGACTATACCATTTGCCAGTGGAAGACCACAGATCCACGAATGCATGGGAAGAGCAAACTGCATTTAATGGTTTCTCTTTAAGAGGAAACAAGTTAGGTGAAAAGTGAAAGGTGTGGATCTGGGAAGAGAGGGGTAAGGAACATGGATATAATCACATATATTTTGTGTCATATATATGAGTGCACGCACACACATATATAGCTATTTTAATTGCCCTAATATGTGTGATAATTGTTCATTATAAAAACAAAAACAAAACAGAACATGATACAAATGTACTCAGATTCAGAACACATTATGTCAAACTATCAGAGCAAAAGGAAGGCTCTAGAGAAGTTTGTTAAATGATTCAAAATGTGGCCATTACTGTGTAAATAGTGCTATCCTATTATAATTATATATACATATAATTGTTTCATAAAATAGAAGTGAAAACATACTCTAGAACTGACAAGAGTTTTAACTGATATTGGGTTGTCACCCTAAATTTTAAGGTAGTATCCTGTGATTCTGGGGTCACTGACTGATTAAAAAGGAGAAAGCTACCTGAATACATATTTTATATCTCTCTGCTTCCTCATTGAAGGCTAAAGACCACCTGCTTCATACTCTTCCTCCATGGCTTCCCTACCAAAATATATTGTGTCTATATTGAACCTTCAAACTATGAAACAAAGTAAACCCCTTTCCTTGAAAAGGGGGAGGTTTTAAACTTGGCTTGTGGAGTTAAGTATGTATTGTGTGACTCATCACTGTTCAGTCTTGCTAGTTCCACAGTCTTTGTACCGCCTTTCAAGGACATCCCAGGAAGACCTCAGGGAGCTTTACTTCATGTTGAGTGATGACAGAGAATTGCAGGAGCCCAAGCATCCTGTGTTCTCTGGAAACCATAAACATCTCTGTTATATGGAGGAGAAAAGGAGAAACCACATTTTCATGTCAGCATACAAAGGGCATCCCTTTGCCAGTGTCTTCCACAGGTCTCCAGCCCTACCAGATTTTGAAAAGCCTTAATTTTTTTCTGATCTGGAGGTGGTACTCAGCAGGCTTGGCAGTAAAGTTCAAGCATGGAGCTTATAATACAGCATTAATATGAAAATGTATAAAAGTAACTACTCTTTAGGAAGTTAAAATTTGCTGTCTTAAATAAGAACACACTGAGGAACAAGCTGCTGAAGGTAGACTGAATATTATCTATTTTCTATATATAGACTTGAGGCAGGTAAGTTATTCAACTGTTGTTTTTTCTTGTGTAATAGGATTTTTACACAAGTGTGTTACCTTGTTACTATCTATGCCAGTGCATCAAAACAGTGTCAAAATTAACGACAATACTAAAATCAAGTCCTTTTGCTTGTACATATTCAGTGTGTTTTTTTGTCATCTTGAGATATTGAGCAGGTTCCTTCTTCTTAACTGTGACCTGTGAACAAAAATTAGGAAGTTGATCATAGGTCACCCTTGCCAACAACACACATACATATCACACACATATACAAACACTTCTCACTTATACATCCATACACACCAAAGACACACACACACAACTCATACATACACACACATCAGAAACTTTGTAATATTGCTTAAAAACAATAAATTCTAAATTTTATTCAATACAAGTTTTTGGCATTTTAAGTTCGTTGTCTTAACTAAAATCTCAGATCTGATATTAAAAGCTGGCTTTGTGGGCTTAAGTGTGTGCTAAGGAAATAAAGCACATCCTGCTACAGCAGAGTATTTGAGTTAGATCCCACATTGTACAGCTCACAAATGCCTGTATTCCATTTCCTCTGTCTTCCATGGATACCTCTACTCATGGGCACATACATATAATCAAAAATAAATCTTGTTAACAACTTACCTTTGTTTGATAAAACTGGGTAAATTTATCATCTGGACCAGAAGTCAGAAGTTCTGTTTGAACGTGAAATGGGTTTGTCTTGTATTTTGTTTTTAATATTTACCATTTACTTGAAAATATGAAATATTCATCAGTAATTTTCTATGTGATTAATATGAGATGTGCACAATTATATAATTCAAATCTGAATTAGGGTCACACGAATCTCCTTATTCCCCTCACCTGACTTCATCTATTACACTGTTAAGTTGGCATGACAAGTGTGAAGTTTTAGAACTTAATTCAAAGAACATATGCTTCATTAGTAAGACATGAGAAACATAGGCTAACACATCATTTTTGGTTGTTCTTCCATGAATATCTTGCCCAATAGCCTTTATTGGTATCCAATATAGAAAAGAACGCTTATTGGAAGTTTCAGTGATCATTGTATAAACAACACATGTGACTTTAAGGAAGTTAATATCTTCTCAGAATGACATTTCTTTTTCCCAGTTCAAGAGTTAATTAGGTTCTTCCAGATGAAGAGTTAGTCCTAAGTACTAAGCAGATTCACAAGCACTTATTCCATCACCGTTTTGACTGCCTGACACTTATTAAGGATACCTTCTTCTTTGTCAAAAGACAGCTACCAGTGATACAAATTTCCATTGTGTTCCACAGAAGACTTTATGAGTGTTGCTAAGAGGAAGGGGTTGAGACCCAGGAAATCACACACTTTCAACCCACAGAAGCTATTGTTCTATGTGGCTAGGAATAAAGGGAGAAAAAAAAGAAAAGAAAAAGATAAAGAAAGAGGAAGGGTAGAAAAGGGAGAGAAGGAAGAGAAAGAGGGAGAAGAGGAGAGAGAAAATTGGGCAAAACTAGTGAATAAAAGTTTTTGATGGAATTTTATGTTGCATTTTCTCTCACAGGGTATTAGGCATTTCCCCTGCTTAGTATGGAAGAATCAGAAATCTCCAGGTGTTCAGAAAAAAAGTTTCAGATGCCCTATTGTTGGTTATTTGGCAATGTTATTAAAGAATGAAAAGACTCATAGTAAAGAAGTTTCCTTGAATCTCAGAAGGAATTTCAGACTTTTAGAATATGTTAACAGTGTTAAACTATAGTGACATTTTGATGTGGGAGTCCCCTCTGTGTGCTGTCATTACCATTAATGAATAAAGAAAGTGCCTTGGCCTGTTGACAGGGCAGAACTTAGATAGGCAGGGAAAACAGAACTGAATGTTGAAAGAAAGAAGGGCAGAGCCAGGGAGACACCATGAAGCTGACAGAGACAGACATGTCGAATCTCTCCCTGTAAGCCACTGCCATGTGGCCATACACAGATTAATAGAAATGGGTTAAATTAAGATGCAAGAGTTAGGCAGCAAGAATTTGGAACTAATGGGCTAAATAGTGTTTTAATTGAAACAGTTTCTGTGTGGTTATTTTGGGTGTAAGCTAGCCAGGTGGCTGGGACAAACAAGCAGCCTCTCCTGGCACCAAGTGAATTTTGCACTTGCACTTCAATTGACATTGAAGTGAATGTCTTCAGCGTTATGAGATTCTTATATGCATTGGGGCAGAATGCTACATATTAAAGTGATGTGTTTGGATGTCAAGTTATCCAACCACAAAGAAAACTGAGAAGTTATGAGAGGTTGGGGGCATAGTAGT